ATACTACTGAGGAGTATAAATAAACCGTAAGCAGCCCTGGGTCCACAACACAGCCTGGGAATAGTGACGGTAAGCTGGGTAGGAGCACTAAGAACAGATTAGGCAAAGCCTTTATTAGCCAGGGATTCCAGGTTCAGAGTCTGTTTATTTAGGGACTCCTCCTACTGCAAACAAGATCCTGACCCTAAAGTTCAAAAGAGAGGATGGAGGGTTAAGGCCGGAGTGGAGAAACGTCAACACATTCATGCTAGAAAATTCTGCAGGATGCTTTTTAAACAAATACAATGAACACACAAATAATTTTACCGTCTTTTTCACAGATGATAGCATCTAAAACATACAAAGAAAGACACATATGTGGCTAGAAGGGTTAGACACACAGATCCTCAATCGAAGTTTAAACATTTGCATATGACACCGTTCTGAACCAAACACTTTGCATTTCAGTGTTACCAAGGACAGGCTCTGCCTTCAGGATGATATTTCGTGCCACACAGATTCAGGGCTTTTTCAGCCCTGCATACAACTAGACACTAGGCAGGCTACAAGTGTTCACTCAAAACCTGGATATTTGAAATGCAAATTGGTTCCTGTGCTGACCTACTAATGTGCTTTTAGCGTCTCTCTATTTTTTTCTTGCTTCTCAACCCAACAAAATAATCTTTTCAAACCCATTTGAAAGCGTGAAGCAAAAGGCGGACATAAAACAAACCAAAAACACGGAGAATAGAAACTAAAGACACAATTTTTCAGCTTCTGTGACACTAGTCTTGTGTAACATCTGGTGATCAATGACTCAAATATGAGCAGATGCCCACAGAAAGTGTACAGTTCTGATGATAGTGAGCCCAGAGGTCTTATCAAATGTAATTTGGCTAGGTTTACTTGGTTTGACCTTATTGGGTAAACTGGTTACCTAGCCAAAATGAAGCATGAATACAGTGAGTCTTATTTAGATCATTACTATTAAAAAGCAAAAACTCTTTTGTTTCCCTTTACAATATTTTCCACAAAGCCAGAAATGTACGTAATCGCAGATGGATCGATGCGAAAACACTGTCTGAAATCAGTTTCAAATTAAAAAATAAAAAGTGTTCAGTATAACCAACATGTCATAACCTACGTTAGATGAAACAGGATTTAATTTCTCACGAAAATGAAAACATAATTGTGAGTGACAGATCAAGTCTGTTCAGCAGGCTGTAAAGATTTTAACCTCACTGTTGCGATACAGAAAATATGTCTTTCCAAAAAATTCCTGGTGACAAACCTCTGGAAATATGCGTTGTGAAAACTATACAGTATTGCACAGACTATGTCTATCCCTCACTGCCTCGTTTTCATTCTAATGAATATACTAAAAAAATTAAAAATAAGAAAATATTAAATAAATGTTTAATAAATATTT